AGATTAAAACCTTCAATCTGCTCCTGAAAATGCTAATTTAGTTAGCAAAACACGGGTCGAGGCGTATAAAAATTCGGTTTTCTTAGTGGTAAAACAGTGATATCGCTGCGTGATTGATAATTTTGACAAAGGCATATATTTTCAATGTGACAATCAAATTTTGATTCTTATAATTCTTCATAACCAATTAACTTGAGAGCTGTGAAGTGCAAAACTACTGTCATTCATACATTGAAGGCTAATCTTATTGAGTCAAATCGATGACCCAAAGTAGTCAAATATATATAATCTGATTGTTCATGTTCGCATATTAGAAAAATATCAATCAAACTCAAAATATTATGTTATGTTGTTTTGGTTGACATTATCTGCTACTTTGGAGAATAAGAAGATATACTCTGACAGCAACTTGGTTTCTTCATTGAAGTAACTTTCAATGATTTTTGGGCTTATATAGTTGTGGAATATCAAGTATTTTTGCCGTGGAAACTCTACTTCAAGAAGATAAACTTAATCGATATACAGGGTTGATCAAAAAGGTGTACCGAGCTTTCTGGAGATGATAGTTCATTGAAAAATGAGTATAGTTCGGTAAATGAATAATTCCCGAAAATATATATTGAGGAAGATAAATTTATCCTTCCAAAATTGATGGAATTGAAATAATTATTCCGCATACCTTCTGAACGGTAGAAGCCACCAGATGGAAAATTCATGTAAGAATGTATGTTGATTAACTAAATTTTCCTGAGACACTCCCACATTTCAGATAATGTAATAAAGGATGTTTTAGAGGATGGGTTCGTGATTTTTTTCAACCAATTCTTTTCCTTCTATTTTTGTCGGTCAAACAAGAAAAGCATTTGATAGAACGAAAAATTTCATATGGAAACGGTACTTCTATGAAATTACTAAAGATGTAACTGTTTTCGAGATATTTGAGTTCTTGAAGTGACATAATATCTGCAGATAAACTTATCAGTAACAATATTCAGGGAGGCCTAGAACTTCTTGGCCGGCGCACCATCTCTATTTTGCATTTTTAAACATTCTTTTCCATGCAATCTTTGCACAATCCTCAAAATTGTCCAAAAATTTGCGTCAAGCGAGAACCAACTCTGCATAGTGAGCAACTTGCTATTTCCTGAAATGTCAGTCGAAAATCGCAGTGATAATATTACTGAGTGAAAAAACAAGGAAATCAACAATAACAATGTTGATGTCATAAACGTCAAAATTGATAATAAAATTGGTTTTGATGAGGATTCTGAAATCCGAAATGGTTGCATTGCAATAAAGTCATATAACCTGTGTGTGAGAGATAATATTTCCCATATCACTGATATGAATGATTATTTTTGGAAGTTTCCAAGCTCATCAAGATCAGAGTTCATGCCAGTATACTTCTCCTATTCATTCCAATTTTCATTTCAATGCTGAATATATTGGTAAGTCATATTTCTATATCATTATTCATTATATTATTCATCCGATTTGAAGAAGAATGTCAATTCTCAATTTCGGAGGATTTTATTCTTTATTTTCAATGTTATCATTTTGAATGTTCATCAGATATAATTCAATATTCGACGTGGCAAATATCAAGGAAAGTAGTTGTTTTCTGTTGAATATTCAGAATGATGTGTGCATATACATATTTTTGTCTGAAGGAGAATGCAAATTCTCAATTTCAGAAGTGTTTATATTTTATTCTCAAACTCTTATCGTGTGTGTTCAATAGATGTAATTCAATGTTCGTCGTGACATATAGCCAGGAAAGTAGTTGTTAATGATAATAATAATAATAATAAAGGTCTTTATTATTTTCAAGTAATACTCATACATTTTGTGAATACAAATAAACATATTTTTTGAAAATAAAGGGCGAAGTTCATTTCCTGTAGAGAAACAGTAGCTTCACTACGGAAATGTTTTCTATTGAATCAACTGAAAAAGAGTAAATATTCTCATCACATAGAGAATGCGAATTCTCAATGTTGCTTTATATAAATATATATCCATTTTTGTATGTTCATAATTTATCTGAGAATATTCCTTTTCAACACTTGGTTTTGGTAGCCTAAAATATTTTCACTAATGAATTAATCTGCTGATATCATGTGACTACAAAAACTTAAATATGTCGAAAGCGATTCAATTTTTTGTATTTTGATAGGAGTAACTTCATCATGTAATTTTCTTCGCCCTGTCAAATGAGCCATACGTTTATCTATTGAAGCTGATCAAAGTGAACTTATTTTTTAACGCACCATCAACTCCAGAAAGCTCGGTGCACAATTTTAACTCACCCTGTACATTATACTGAAGTATATGGCCATGGAGGTTCAGGAAGCATCGAACTAGAAGGAAAGATACCAGTCAAGAGGATTTCTTTCAAAGCTATGGTTTTGATAGTATTCAGGATCTCCCTTTATCATTTATGGATCGATTTGGAAAAATAGATAGGTAGGTTTGTTTTATCCGAGTCAGTATAGTGTGAATTTTCATGCCGAAACTCTTAATCGGTCTTCTGACACATAAAATAATATATATTATATCGACGAATGAAAAATAACACAGCTCACTCTGAACAAACCAACCTTCCTATTTCTCAGTGGGGCTATACAGGGTGTCCGGAGATAAAACCGACAAGACTTGTGGGGTTATAGGGACTGTCAAGATGATTGCAAAATGACATAAACCAATGTCCAACACCGCTTCGTTATTGACATACAGAGTGATTTGTGGATTTTGACAAAAAATTCAATCCGCCATATCAAATACAGGGATTAACCGATTAGTTTCAAATTTGGTACACGAATTACACTGAAAAGCATTAACAAGTAGCCCTTTGATCGAAACCAATATCAGGACCGGAATGATATTTTTCCCCTATATTGAGTTATTGTGAGAATAACTCACCCTGTATAATAATAACAAAAAATTTCAACTCAGATTCGACATTTACGGTGGAAATTGTATGAGAATTTGTTGAGAAATCTCTTGGCACTATTTCAGTTATTCCGTAATTAATTATTATTTTAATTTTTTTTCAAAATTCAATTATTGTCGGATGAAGTCTTATCAAAATTGGTAATATAATAAATATCAACGAAACCATGACATGAATAACGTTATTTTCTTCAATCAGTCAGTAAATCGTAGTAAAATAAAATACTCTCATCACCCGAAAGAACTGAAAAATAAATTCGTATCTGGACTGGAATGCGGTTTTCTATGATTTTAATCCTGTAAGAATAGATGATCTAGTATAACAATGATCTGATCGCAGATTCGAAATGCACTGAGAAAAGTTAAAAAAAATGATCGGATTGAACTTTCAAATATTAAATCAGTATCAGTACCTTATAATGTTTGTGTATAGAGAATACTAGGCTTGTATCAAATTCAGAATTTTATTATGGAAAACCATTGTTCAGCTGTCATCAGCGTTTGTTTTATTGGTGTTCATTTATTATTCCAGTGTTTTAAGGATCAAACTATAGTTCTTAGAGTGTGCTCATGATGCCGTTTCATTTCACTTATGAGGAATACGCAGATATTCTATTTGTGTTTGGGCTTTAACTGGTGATGTTTACCTGAATTTTCTGGTCAATACTTGACCGGATCTATTGCAAGGTGTAAATACCTGAGGTATATGGTTTCAGCATGATGGTGCTAGACCTCACTTTTCAGTTCCAGTAAGAAACCATCTCGATGCCAATTACCCCAATAGATGGATTGGCCGTGGAGGTTCAGTAAATTGGCCACCGCTATCCCCTGATCTAACTCAGCTAGATTATTTTTCAAGAGGTAATTTAAAGTAAGAACTTCATAATGAAGAAATTTTTTATGGGAAATTATTGCTGCATGTGTTAGTGTTAGAAATAACCCTTAAATAATTCGCAAGTCAGTGAATCATCTAATAGCACGCTCTCAAAAATGTATTGATGTTGGAGGGCTCTACTTTCAAAATGTTTTGTAATACTGGGTAGTGAAAGTTTTTCACGAATTCGTTGCTTTTGTTATGTTCATTACAAACAGTTATTGTTCGTTGTGTGGTTATTCTCATAAATTCAAATTCATTAGTGAGCGAATATAATTTACGAAAACTTCACTGTAATCCTTCTTTAACAGGTTCTTATACGATTTTTTTAGATTCCGAATCTACGATCAGATTATTGATAACTATTGATGTACTAGGTCAGCTAACATGACCAAACAAAACACCCATTCCAGTCCTGATACGAATTTATTCTTCAGTTTTTTCGGGTTATGAGAATATCTCATTTTACTCCGATTCATGAACTGATCGAAGAAAATAACGACATTCATGTCATGGTTTCGTAAATATACGTACTTTATCCGACAATGATTGATTTTTCAATGAAAAAAATTAAAATAATAATTAATTACGGAATAACTAAGATGGTGCCAGAAGATTTTTCAACAAATTCCCATACTATTTTCACCGTAGATTGCGAATCTGAGTTGAAATTTTTGGTTATCATGATACAGGGTGAGTTATCCTAACAAAAACTCAACATAGGGGAAAAATATTATTTCGGTCCTGATATTGGTTTCGATCAAAGGGCTACTTGTTGACGCTTCTCAGTGTAATTCGTGTACCAAATTCAAATCCAATCGGCTAATCCCTGTATTTTATATAGCGGATTGAATTTTTTGTCAAAATCCACAAATCACTCTGTATCTCAGTAACGAAGCCGTTCTGGACATTCGTTCATGGCATTCTGCAATCATATTGACAGTCCCTATAACCCCATGAGTTTTGTCGGTTTTATCTCCGGACACCCTGTATAAAAGGAAACTCCTGGAGACTGTCAAAACTTCAGGAAACATTTATCTCCTCGACATTGCTGCCGTTGGTTTTAAGTATCATGGCTTGACCCTAGTGAATATTATTCGATCTCTGGACGCTTTTTATCGTTGAGTTGGCAGACGCTGTATCAGCAACGACGAATCGCATGCACAAGGCAAACCTTAGGATTGAGTCCCGATCCTTGCCGCAAGAAAGTCCCCGTGATGAACCAGAAACTGTTGGACACGGAAAACTGATTCTCGACAATGTCGGACTCTTGATGGCAGGGATGTGGGTTGTTCCACTCGTAGGGTGAAAATCTCGCCATTACGAACAGCGTGAACGACACCAGGATGTAGGCAGCCAGCACGTACAGCCAAATCTCGAATGCTAGCGGGTTCATGAAACTGAACAGCCTGGTGGGCTGGCTAGTAGGAACCTATAACCCAGGTAACAAGCTGACGTCATTTGTACGTCAATATATGGTCATTTATGGTCATTTACGTCATATGACCTCAAAATGACGTCATTTTGACGTACTTAATATGACGTTATATAGACGTCCTTGATATGTCGTCAATATGACGTCATCTGATGGTCATTTTCATGACTAATTATGACCATCATTTATTGAGTCATCTACATCAAGGAAAATCCATAATCAAGAAGTTTCCCATCTCTGTTATATGAAAATGTTAGTAGTTATGTTATATAACATATATTATTATGTCACTCATCATATATTATGCTTCATAATAATTTTTCCTCTAATCTGTGCGAGATGTGTGTTTTCGATGGTCTCTGAGATAATTGTTAATTATATACCTTCTGTGCAAAGTATTCTCCCTATAGCTATCAAAAATATAAGACCGAATGGCACGTCATAAAAAGATTATAACGTTGTTATTCCGGAATGCGAATTCAAATCAGAGCGGGAGAGTGCGTAGAGAACTGTATTTGATTGGTCGGCACGGACCTTGCGCAGACATGCGAACGTCGACCGCCAGCGCCAACCCAAACCCACAGCCGTCTTCAGAAGACGGCTGTGGCCAAGCCGTTCACTTTCGCAGTTCGCTTCGCCGTTGAGGCCATGATGATCATAACAACAAAATAACAATACATAGAAGGCCATCATTATCATGTTATTCGGCTATCTATGTTGTGTGGTGTGGTGGTCATACTTATTCATATTCATATATCAAGTAGTAGAATTTGAGGATGGCAGCATGGTCATTATTTTAGACAAGTGGTGTATGCCGGAAGAGCAGAATGTGAATTGGACGCCATTGAAGGAATACCATAGGGTTCTGAGAAATCTCTTGAGTGCATCATCCGAATGGGATAAGTTCCTAATAAAAAGAACATTTTATGAAACTGGTATTTATAGTACCTACCCATAATATTATTCTGCATTTAATGTGGTAAAGGAACATCAATACAATTATACAAAAAAATCTCATCTTTTCTGATAATATTGAAACAACCCTAATGCAACAGTGTTTTTTTTACCTACAGAAAATTTCGAAATAGCACAAAATGAACTGAAACATGCAGAAGATTTCAGTGATATAAATAATCGTAAAGATCACGTCATTTTGACGCCATTAGGATGTCGTCATTTTGACGTCATTAGAATGACGTCATTTTGACGACATGAAAATGACGTCATTCGTCTTTGACTTAGAAAGTCATATAAACGTCATTATGACGTCATTTTGGAAGTCATCCTGACGTCAGGCCTGGCGTGATAATGACGTACAAATGACGTCAGCTTGTTACCTAAGAAGGGAGGTAATCGTCCAATAAAAATTCCAGAGGAGCTAGTGTTGTTCTTTTTCTCATAGTGAGCTTTAGATGTGATAAAGATTCACGTATGCATCTAAAAAACGTCCCAAGAAACACTGTGATAGATCACGATTTGTGATATTTTGTTTCTCTGTGGTGTAGATGTAGTGGTCTGCGTTCGACTTAGTCGTAAGGTATGATCGTTCGAATAATCAACTTATAAACTTATTTTGTTTTTGTTTTCGATATTCATATAACCTGTTTGCGAGAGATAAAATTCCCATATCACTGATTACAATGGAAAGTTTCAAGCACATCATGATCAGAGTCAATACAAGTATACTCTCCCTGAACATTTCAATTTCCATTTCAATACTGAACATATTGGTGAGTTATATTTTCATATCATAACACATCATATTGTTTCATCCGATTTGGGAGAGGACGTTAATTCTCAATTTGGAAGTTTTTTAATCTTGATGCTCTCCTTTTGAGTGTTCAACAGATATATTTCAATGTTGGACGTGGCAAATAACCAGGAAAGTAGTTGTTTTCTGTTGAATAAACCGAGAAAGAATTGATATGTTGATCACATAGGGAATGCGAATTCTGGATGTATTTCTTTATATATATTCAATAAATCATCTGAGAATATTTCTGTTCGCTGATGACTTCGAAGGCTAGATCGTCCTACAACATTTGAGTTTTGCATTATTGTAGCTTATAGCATATACAGGCTGATTCACGGTGGATGGCACATCAAACGTTTCTGGAGAACGCAACTCAGGGTCATTCTGAAAAGTTGCTGCCTTGAATAATTAGTTGTATTCTATCGGCCGAAAATATTTTCAGCGGTGCGACGTTGCCGCTTATATTGAAAAGAGGCGAAAACTCTGATTTTTTAAATGGTACACTGTATATTATTCCATTCTCAGATTCTTCGTGAAGAGCTGATTCCATTGACTCATGACACTTGGGGTCTAGCAGTAATGATTACAGAGTTGAATATCAATCGATAGTACGTGAAATGTTAACACAGGGACATGGAAACCGTTTTTACCAACTGCGAATAGTTTCGCCACAAAAAATTCCTAAAGCTGAAAAATCCCGATTTTTCACACCCTATATCTTTGTTATCATTCACTCTAGACCCCAAGTGTGATCGATCGATGAAATCAATTTTTCAAGAAAAAGGACCCCGCACATTTAGTACGTAAAATGGCTTTCGGCTAAATTTTCTGAAAATTTGATATGTTTAAGACATTATCGTCCTTATCACACAGTCCAATTTACAGATCGATCCTATGACCAGTTTTCGAGCTACAGGGTGTCAAACATTAGATTTTGGCTGTTTAGAATATTTTGCATCAATTTGAATTATGTGCTCTGAGTCGTGATTAATCTTCAGTAGAAATAAACTCTTCACGTCCAATATCTACCTCATGAATCCCTCTATTCGGTTAGAGGATAATATCACATACAGAGTATTGCATTCCATCATGACAAGGTAATATTCTTGGGAAAAGACAAATATTGAAAACATCAGAATTTTAATTTTTACTCAATCACTGACAACTTGAAAACAAACGGCTAGAATCGGCCAGTTATGTGACACAGTATGGGTCTTGATCATAAACATGAGGATTCATATGATTACCTCTGATACCATGTCCGGTTGGCCATATATAGGGTGATGACAATTTGAAAGCTTATAGAATTGATGTAACTCAGGTACAAAATGAGATACATTTCTATAATATATGAAGTGGAAAATGAAATGTCTCATGAAATAACCCACCCCCACCAAGCCCCTGATGAGTCACAACCACCCCAACGCATATTATCATCTCAATAGTAGCCCCTACTTATTGTGATACCTCATTGAATAGCTTGGTGAAAATACATTTCAGTGGTATTATTCATATCTCGAACTGGGTGAACTAATAAAAAATATTCATCACCTATATCATTCTGCTGGGGTGACGTATTAATTCCGTAACTTTTTGTAGTATGGGAAAAAATCGTTATTATCGAGCATTATATAAATAACCATAAAAGTGAAATTGCTTATGTGAACAGTTGGCTAGTGAAGCGAGAGAAAACTAAAATCTACAGAATGTTCTAGTAACCTAACCTAACCTAACCTGAGCTGGTCAGACGGTAAGGACACAGCTCCATTCAATCCAGCAGAACATCTCCAAGATAGAAGTTGTAAAACTGTGACATGTCCGCTATGTTTGAATTCTCAAGAGAATTTGTATTTTGATGATTGTCAAAAGCTGCTGATAGATATTTTTCACATTGTGGCTCACATTCTGGCGAGATTGTCGTATTGAGACAAGTTGTCAGATACCATAATATGACATCAAGCATTGCTATAGATGAACTGATAGGCACAAGCCATGAATGATAGTACATAATGGGTCGCACTGTTGATGGCGATTTCCGAAAATATTGTTGCTTGGGTCTTCGCTGGAATTCAGCAGAGATCGTTCACTATCCAGATCTGCTTGAAGACTATATATATTTCATCCATGCGGTTATTTTTGCATATTGTTAGTTCACCCAGTTCGAGATATCAATAATAATACCACTGGAATGTATTTTCACCAAGCTATTCAATGAGGTATCACAAGTTGGGGCTACCATTGAGATGATATGCGTTGGGGTGGTTGTGACTCAGGGGCTAGGTGGAGGTGGGATATTTCATGAGACATTTCATTTTCCATTTCATATATTATAGGAACCATTCGTGATATGTATCTCATTTTGAACATGAGTTAAATCAATTCTATAAGCTTTCAAATTGTCATCACCCTATATATGGCCAATTGGACATGGTATCAGAGGTAATCATATGAATCCTCATGTTGATGATCAAGACCCATACTGTGTATGGCTGATTCTAGCCGTTTGTTTTCAAGTTTTCGGTGACTGAGTAAAAATCAAAAAATTCTGATGTTTTCAATATTTGTCTTTTCCCAAGAATATTACCTTGTCATGATGGAATGCAATACTCTGTATGTAATATTATCATCTAACCGAATAGAGGGATTCATGAGGTAGATATTGGACGTGAAGAGTTCATTTCTACTGAAGATTAATCACGACTCAGAGCACATAATTCAAATTGATGCAAAATATTCTAAACAGCCAAAATCTAATGTTTGACACCCTGTAGCTCGAAAACTGGTCATAGGATCGATGTGTAAATTGGACTGTGTAATAAGGACGATAATATCTTAAACATATCAAATTTTCAGGAAATTTAGCCGAAAGCCATTTTACGTACTAAATGTGCAGGGTCCTTTGGAAACGGAATGATAAACAAGATGACCCTTTAGAAAAATGAAAGTTGTTGCTACTTTTCAATATAAGCGGCAACGTCGCAGCGTTAAGGATATTTCAGGTCAATAGAATACAACTAATTATCCAAGGAACCAAATTTTCGAAATATTCCTACATTGCGTTCTCCAGAAACGTCTAATGTACCATCCACCGTGAATCAGCCTGTATATTGGAGACTAATCAAGCCGAAGTAGTATGTTGTGCATCAGCTAACAAAACGATTCACGAAATTTCCTAACTCTATCTATCTAGCTTTGAGATTCTGTGGTTTTCAATCATAGTGAGATAAGATGTAGGACATGGAAT